CCCTAACCCTATACACACACATACATACGTACCTACATATATATATATATATATATATATATATATATATATATATTATATATATATATATATATATATATATATATATATATATATATATATATATATATAAATGACATATATTATATATTTTAATATATATATATATATATATATATATATATATATATATATATATATATATATATATATATATATATATAAATGACATATATTATATATTTTAATATATATATATATATATATATATATATATATATATATATATATATATATATATATATATATATATATATATATCAAAATATACTATAATAATTAATACATAGTTTTAACCACATTTAAATATATCTAACCTTGTAAAAAACTTTCACTTTTTACTAATTGTGTCTTATTATCAAATGCATCATTTGCATATCAACAAAACATTTATACAAAACTAAATTTTAATAGTTTTATATGAAAGTTATGTTGAGAAGTATAATGATTATAGCATAATGAGTGCTAACTTAAATGAAATTAAGGATGTCATCAAGTCGACAAGTTATTAAATTGTTTTGGAACTTACTTTAATATAATATAAGCAATGGAAAAGTTTTCTATTTACTAGACTAATTAGAATTGTAATTGATACACCCTATCTTTTAACAGTAGAACTACTGAAAAAAAGATAGGATGTATCAATTACAGTTTTAATTGGTCTAGTTATCAGAACAGTCTAACTTTTATATTTTACAACACTAACTTTTACAAAACAATTTCATTATAATAGTATTTACTATAGTAATAACTTTTACAAAAAAAATAATATATATTTTTTTAATAACAAAATATATCTTGTAAACTTTTAGTTCCGCTTTTAAAGTACCATCATAAAAAAAAAAAAAAAAAAAAAACATTTAAATAATGGCAATTATGGCAAAACGACTTTCGGCTCTGTATCCAATGCAATCGGGCCAGTGCTGGCCCAAAATCAAATGCCGTCGTAATGGCTCACGACTACTCGCCAGAGTTCTGGCATTTCGTCGCACGCCGCTGCGACTTCTTACGATGATTTACCGTACATAAAAAGTTGCTTGAGTCACTTGCCAGAATCGCGCCAGTAATGGCCCGTTACTAATATAGTCGCAATGGCGTGCGATGATTCGCCAGAGTTCTGGCCCGGAGTCGTGTGCTGTCTGGGTAGTAGCTAAATAATAAATGTAAAACAAAAAAACAATTCATATTAAATGCATATTTTATTTACAAACTTTCTTTTTTTGTCTGAAAATATGCCCGGAGCAATAGTAGAGCATTTAAGGTTTGGTCATTTAGCCTACTCCTTATTTTACTTCCCAAATACCCAGCTGCAGAAAATGCTCGTCGGTGCTCGTCGGTGGAATAGATAACAAATATTGGTATACTAATTCCAAATTATGCCCCCGGTTTCCACCATTTTCAAACAGTGGCATTTCTTTCTTTATGATTGACATTAAATTTGAAGTTTGTGTTTCTGGTTCAATGGCTTTCATGCTTTGTGCAATTTGTTCTTGTAACTTTTCTCTTAAAGACAGGGAGGCTCGAACTTGTGATTCTTCATTTCTAACGACAGCCATTATATTTTCATCAACATTAATACTTGATTTTTCTAAATTATCATTTTTAAAAGCAGCTAGTCTCTCAATAAGTTTTTTTTATCTGCTTCCTAATAAGGGTTTTAGGAGGAACTCCAAAAATTTTGCAGACATTTGTTTCATCATTCACAGCATCATATTTTGGATTTTAAAGGTATTTTAAAACACCAGAAATTTCTTCACATCGTCTTTTTTCCATTCTTGTTTTTATAGCTTGGAACATTTTATTAGCAAAATTTTTCTTCATCTTCGTGATCATCTGTTTCATCAACAATATCTTGAGTTTCCTTCAATGGTGCTTCGGTGTCGGACATTGGCGTAGAACTTTTTTTATTAAGAACATCACAAACTGCAAGGTGAATTCCATGGACTAAACACAACTGGTGTTCAGCCTCAATAATTTTTCCCACACGAACCATTACATTTGGACCATCCGTAACAATAGCAACAATGTCTATATCAATATTAACATTATGCCCTTTTAGACGTGTTTTTAAAACATCAATTCATTTCTGAGCATTCATAGAACCATATACACGAATAAGACCCAAATTCCAGTGCTTATTTGGGATATGTACATTAATATTCATGTATCTTTTATTTGTTGTAGAGGTCCATTCATCAAAGCTCAGAGAAAATCGTGTTCCCAAAGCTTTATATTAATAAATTTCTTTGGAAATTAACTGTTTAATATTTAAGCTGTAACTCACCGCTATCCTTTTAATTGAGTTTGCTGACTTGGGCAAATTTTCGAAACCACTGGTAATCAATAATTGCCTTAAATCTTTTGATGTTATAAATACATTAAATGTTAGCTCATCTAAAGCTGTCATTCGAGCCAGTGTTTCGTCTAAGGTTTTTTTTTTTCGGACGCAAAGTAACTCGTTAATCTTCGTTTCGTAGGAGGCTTCTCGTCGGTTCTGGCATCATTCAACTGTTGTCTCGAACTAGGTAAATTTTTGTCAGCTGAAGTTACTTTCAAATTATGCTTAGTTGATAAGTGCGTATGAAGGCCTTTTGTAGAACCACCCAATGTTTTCAAAATTACACCACATTTCTTACATTTTGCTGCCAAAATATCCGCAGACCTCAAATAATGTGACCACACTGAAGTTGGGTCTTTATCTTTTTTGTGTAGAAAAAATGATGTTCCCTTTTCACTATTTTCATTTATGTTTAGAAGGATATTTTTTTAAGGTGCATTAGTAAACAACATATTATTGCGGTAAACAACAAAAAGCATTAAAAAGGTTACCAGTTCAAAACGTTCAAAACGATTCATTACACAGTCAAATTTTGTATGTATTCACACTAGAATCCCTTCAAGCGGAATTAATTGTCAAGGGCATTATATGCACCGGTGAGTGTGTTCGTATGTATGTATATGTGTATATGTATGTGTGTTTATGTATGTATGTATGTATGTATGTATGTATGTATATATGTATGTATGTATGTATGTATGTATGTATGTATGTATGTATGTATGTATGTATGTATGTATGTATGTATGTATGTATTTATGTATATATGTATGTATGTATGTAATATGTATGTATGTGTTTTATTTGTATGTTTATGTGTTTACTAGTATTTATACAAATGTACATTTGTATAAATACTAGTAAGCACATAAACATACAAATAACACACATACATACATATTACATACATAGAACATATGTTCTATATGCACATATGATATTATGTATGTTCATACACGTAAGTGACAAGTATGACCTTTAAAACTAACCTACATGCCTAAAACGGCTGAAATTGTTCAACGTTGCTGCACGTGGGTCAAAGAAAAAAAAATAATAATAATAATAATAATAATAAAAGATAGAATCTATTCAATAATGTATTTACAAAGGTGTTTTACAATTGTCGGAGAAAAAAATAATTTTGAAGAAAAATGAAAAATTCGTCACAAAAATTAAGACGGTATATTTATGATTATACATAAATTATGAGTATGTATCAACTTTTATTGACGCGTCAAACTTTAGCGTTTCTCATGACAAGACCTTCGAAGTCTTCTTTGAGTTTCCGCGTTCTTTAATTTTGATTATTTTCTATCATTATTTTAAAATAATCTTTAATAAAAAGTAAACTTTTTAACTTTATATTTGTTTAAATATTTTTATGTAATAAAGAACTTAAAAAAACAACAAAAAAAAAATGTACAATATGGTTCGACCGAGGATCGAACATCGGCCTCTGTCGCCGCAGTTCAAAGCATTAACCGCTCAACCAAGCAAACTCATTAATAACGTATAATTTAACTTCATTAAAATTATTAATTGCATATATCAGGCCTTGTGCATGAAGCAGGAGCGTTCGCTACCATCACGTGAAAT